GTCATTGCGGGTTGGGTGGGCTGGCCGGGCCGGCACAGTGAGGTGGCTTGCGGTAGTCTGAGGACTCATGGTGATGGGCTGGGTAGCGCCGTTGAGCTGAATGGCAGGTGGGGGGTGAGAATGGGTGGGCGTGCCTGAATTAATAGTAGTACACCACTCAGTGTAGGGGTACGGCCGACCCGGGCCAAGGAGCTACGACGCGAACAAAAGGCGACGCGGTATAAGAATGCGCATGCAAAAAGGCAGCCTGAAGCGATCTGGCGGGGGGGGGGGGGATCGACGCGTGTTTATGACGCCCGGAATAGCACGTTGCTGTGCTGTGGCTGCGTATGAGGCTGGTGCAAGTGTGGAGATGTGGGCACAGCAACGGAGGCCAGCAGGCGGAATGGGGCCTGCACCGCCCGTGGTTGCCCTCAAAAGGCCTTGACGGAACTGCAGCGAAGGTCGACGGCGCGCACTCACCTGTGGCTGAGTGACGCAATCCCCGCCCACCATCCCGGTTACGTATGGGCCCGTCAGGATCCACGGCGCTGCTCTAGGATGGCACGGCATCTCTGCGCCTTGGCCGCGTGCACAACTCCATTGCCCTCCCTTATCTTGCAACAGGACGGATTCCCCTCGCCCATGCTGACGCTGCATAGGGGGCGGCTTTGCCTTGTCGCCATGGAAGTACTTACGCATACGCCTGGCCGGCCCGAGTCTGATCTGACTGGCCTCCCCCATCTCATCAACCACAACCGCCGCATCGCTTAGCCTGCCAAAAGCCCGCCCTTGGCGTCGAGGATAGCCTGGATATGCAACAAAAAAACCGATATTGCACATGCTCTGCCCATTGGCCCAGTCGTTGCATCTGTCTCGGTTCCTGGCGGGTGCTGGCTCCACTCCATGGCTGATGCCCAACCTGGTCACATTGCGGCTTTCTTCGCACCTTTTGGTGCTCATATGACGATGCCCCCTGAAACCTTGCTTACCTGCAATGACTGTGCACTTGCCAACCCGTTGTTGTTGCTATCAATCTGGATTTGGGCTTATTTACTTAGACGTACATACACAATACCCCCGTGGGCCTAAGCAAGCCCAGACCACAGTCAATGATGAACCATTCTCAAGACACCGCCCAGTACTTATCCTTCCCAAGCAAACTATCAAGGCAATCTGGGGGAAGCCTTCAATCAGGGATAACAAAAAAAAGCAGCCTTGTCAACGCCGACCCTGTTACCATCTTACACCGTGACCGTGACTGCAGGGACCCGCACTAATTACAGAGCTTAGTAATTAAGCTCTCCGCCGCCGCCTCCACCAACCGCATCTAGATCCTCGTAACTCTTAATAGATCGACCTTGCACAGACTGTACAGGTCCAGGTCCACCTTCGCCATAGCGTTGAGTTCCTGGCCGAGTACCGCGTGGAGGTGTCAGACGACCGCCATTGACAGCCGGTCGACTACGTCCATCACGAGCCTGTCGGTCGTAAGGTCCTGTACGGTTGTTGAAGCGATGGCCGCCTCGTCGCATAGGTCCTGCACGGTCATCATGAGCAGCAGCAGGGTCCCAGGTGCCGCCCATGGCAGGATTGAACATGCCACCCATGTGCATTCCATTCTGCATTCCATTGCCCCCCGCCATAGCCATGCTCATGTTGGCCAGGTTGAATCCTCGCGGAGTTCCAGTCGCCTGAACATGGTTACCCATTGGGAAGTGACCATTGCTGTTGGCATCACTGCGCGACGGGGCAATGTGTGCAGGATCGAGAACATAGCTATTCACAAGGCGCAGCTGTATTCGAATTAGCAAAACTCGATCATCAGGCAATTCCCACAAGTACTTACATCCTTCTGTAATTGCTCAAGCCACTCAGGGTGACGCTTCTCAATGTGCTTACGCCAGAAATGTTCGCCCTTGAATAGCTTGGTGCACTCTGGAACTTTACATCGCCACTTGGACTCGTCTTCTTGCTTCACATATCGAGCAAGCTCATCTTCTATCGCTTCATCTAGCGGCTTGCCGCCCAGCTTGCGAATGTCGACGTTTTCAGGCTCAAGCAGCTGGAGGAGCTTTTCTTCATATGTCTTGACCCAGTTGAAAGCCCGCTGCAGTTGCTGCTGGTTCTTGGTGCTCAAACGCATAGGCTTGCGCTCTTGTACTGGACTTCCGCTCTCTCCATTCTCAGCATCACCCGAGGCTTCTTGCTTCCTGTAAGGGAACGGTTCTCCAGAAGCTGTGGCCTTTGCCGTCGCCTTTGCCGCTGTAGTAAGACTGGCACGTGGCCGGCGAAGATGTCCTCCGGCGCACTTTCGAATCAATTCATGGACAGAGTCGCTCTCAAAGACACAGAAGAAGCAGAAGTTGTACACCCGGCGCAGGTATTCAATGAGCAGATCCAACTTCTTCTTCTTGACCAAGAGCTCCTCGTCATCAACTTCATCGTCAAAAGTGCCCTCGTCATCCTCCATTGTTTCGTCTTCACCTTCTTCCAACTCTTCTGGATCTCGCTCCTTCTTCATGGGGGCTGGTGCATTTGCTGGAGGCTGAAGCCAGCCCTTTTCGCGCAGGTCCTCGACCCGCTGCTCGATTTTACTAACGCCATCAACATTTGAGAACTGCTCCTCATGACCAGCCTTGAGTTCAGAATCAAGCTTTCTGACCAGTCGCTCGGCAAGCTCGAGATCACGCTCGATTCTCTCGGGCGCAGAGAAGAGATCCCAGAGTGCTTTCTTGCGTGGAGCGGCAGGTGGCTCATGGATACCAACATGGCAGGTGAAGTTGCCCCTGACCTCGTCGTTTACTGTTTTTCCGTTGAGCGCTTCGAGAGCCTTGTGTGCAGTACTCTGTGTCCCCTGAGTAATTTCGGGCTTCACGTCCATATCACCTTCTTCGTCATCAACGTCACGTCCGTCACCACGATCGTCAATGATCATTGGCTGCTCGTCGCTTGGATTGAGAATGACCCAGCCGATGCGGTGGCACTTTTTAAGGGGGTTTGGATCGCTCATGCTGAGCCACTTGAACCCACCGGGGCCCTCTCCCAAGTGCTCCTTGCAAAACTCCTCGACCTTTTCGCGATTCACGGTTGGCGCAATTGTCTTGATGAGCAGCGTTGGCTGGAAAGCGGTCTCGTCACGAATCTCGCCACCTTTGCATGGGAGAAGATCGCCCACACCCAAGACTTCATTAGCAGCAGTTGTTTCTCCCTCTTCCTTCTCAACAATGCCGCCAGCTCCGTTTGAGTCATTCTTGTAGATACCCTCGAGTGTGAATTCATCAAAATACCCATCGTCGATCTGACGCTCCCAATCCTCGTAGATACCATGGCGGTACTGGCGAAGCTTCTCCTTGAACGCCAAGTCGTACTCTGGGTCGTATCGCTCCTTGAACCATTCTTCGTTCTTGTGCTTTTCAACGAATGTCTTGGCCATTTGCACCTGCAGCTTTTCCTTGTACTCATCATAGGCTGCTTGGATCTGCTCACGTTCTTTGCCGCGCTCCTCACGGGCTTCTCGTTCGCCTTTGAGACCGGGCTTACGGCCACCATTTTTCGCGCGTTCTTTCTCTTCCTTCATGAGTTGCTCAACACGCCACCACTCGGCGAAGTAGTTGAATCCAACCTGATACTCAAGGTGCATGGGGTTCGGGACCGGGTTTGTCGTGAATGTCGGTGCGAAGTTGTCTTGACCAGGCACATATCGGTCAATGCCAGCCTGTACTGGTGGAGGGGAGGAGCGACGGCGATTTCCGTCACGTCGGGGCCCATCGTAGTCGCGGGCACGATCGGGTTGGTAACGGTCGATATTCTGGGGGGACCGCGATCGCCGTCTACCAGTTCTGCGGTCTCCGGAGCCTTTGAAGTGCATGTTAGCTAAGTTCCTTTCCGGCAGTGCAGAAAGTTCCTGGGCTTGCGAGATGGGTCAGCGCAACGCCCAAGGCGATGAACTGTACAGTAGTGGCTGCACGTCTTCGGACCGCGCAATCAAGCTAAACCTGGAGCGCGTGACGATCGCGTTCGAAGACAAACGCGCACCAAGAGTAGCGATATACAGATCCACGATACAATAACCGAGAGATGCGTGCTGACCCCAAACAGGAATCTAGAACTTACCTGGTGAACGACGCCTGTATGAGTCGGCAGGCGGCCTGGCCTCCTCATGAGTGGCGCTGCCAATTGTCAGTATTACTCGTCGCGCGACGGGTCAGATATGAACCTACGTATAAGAATCCATTATTGCTGGTGCTCGGATTTGTGGTGCTTCGTTGGGCGACGGATGTCTAGAATCCTGGGTAAAGGATAGAGGTATTCAGGCAGTTGGCAGGTAGCGCCGTCAACCAACCATAAGCACCAGACGCGTGGTCTTTGCTCTCTCGGACGCGCAATCTCGCCTGGAGAATGCGATGGGGTATATCGGGTGCTCGACAGGCAATCGGGCTGGGTAGCTGTTTGCCATGATGGCTCGGTCAGAGAGGGAACAAGTAAGAGACAAGACGGTGAGAAAAGGGCGCGACTAGTAACGAAGGAGAAGAGGCATCTAAGGAGTGACAAGACGAGGATGGCTACCACAGACACCCGGCGCGATTGATCGCACACAAGCAGCGGCGCACGTAGACAAGGTCAGAGAGGTGGCTGGAGGGAGGCCGAGGCGCAGGGCCACGGGGACAAAGGAATAGGAGCTATGGAGATAGCTGTACAAGAGGAATGGTGGGGTACGAACAATTGGGGGGAGGCAAAGGACGAGAAGCTCGTGCACTCACGATGTGCTAAAGTGACTCCCGGCTGAACGACGCCGGCGGAGATGGAGATGACAGAAGGAAGGGTGAGGTTGGTCGCGGCGGCTGGAGAAGCCCGAGGGCGGCTGAGACGGGGCTAGCGCCGCACGGCTACGCGGAAAGTGGGCCGGCTCGTGAACGCGTTGCTCTCGTGGAGGGCCGAGGCTGATGATTGGCAGGCCCGCTTTATGCTCGACGCCCGATTATCACGAGATGCGGAGTGCAGCTGGCTTTTCCTTTTTCACAGGCACCTTTGCCCAGGGCCATTGCATGCTTTGCGCAGGTACACGTTGATCACACCCCCCTAGCCCAGCCCCAGCCCAGCCATGACGACCTATATCTCCTCCCTCACCCTCCCGAGCTTTGTCTTTGAAAACCCAGCAGTGTCCATCCTGCTGCCGCTCGTCTGCGGAACAGCCACTGGGTTTGCCATTAGTCGTGAGTTTTTTTTTCACCGAGCTGGTGCAATTGTGAAGAGCTCTAACATTGAGAATAGCAAGTGTGTCTCAGACAGCATACCGTACATTGAAGCAGCCTCCTCTGCATCCGCCAGGCTATGTCTTCGGCCCGGTTTGGACAGCATTGTATGCAACCATGGGCTACACGGCCTACCGCGCATACACCACTGGCACATCCTCCTTGAACCCTAACACTGTTGCTCTCGCCCAGGTATGTTGCTGCTCAATTGAAACGTAAATATGACCGTCCAACTTACCATCACGCAGCACGGAGCTACTCTCTACTCCATCCAGCTTGCCCTGAACCTGCTATGGACACCTCTTTACTTTGGCTTGAAGCAACCCATTGCTGCTTCAGTTGACATCCTGGCTCTTGGTGGAACGCTCGCTTATCTTGTCAACGTTTGGGGACAAGTTGACCCCGTCTGTGGATGGCTGCTCGCACCATATCTTGGCTGGGTTAGCTTCGCAACTTATCTCTGCGTAAGAACTCTTGTTGAAGGTGCTTATTGAGCGTAATACTAACGTTCAACCAGATTGGCTCCGGTTACTTGAACAACTGGGACTTCAAGGTTCTTTCAAAGAAGGACTAAAAGAAGGCATATAGCACGTGAACAAGGTGGCCGTATACTTACTAATCAGCCAGCCTTGTAAAGCTCATTGCTTTTTTCGGACACTGTCGCATCAAACAATCCCCGGTCTGGTCGCGTTGTCCACGCCAAGAACAGTTACCCTGCTGTAGTTACCGTTAGTATCCTCTGTTTTTCTGACACCAGAGACTTTTGTAAGCACTCAATCCCAACGCCAAAAATTCCTCACAATAAATTGTAGTACTACAATTTTTGAACATGTTACATGCCACAGGGAATATGCATGCAATTAAGAAAAGCAGATCCCGTGATCCATCTCCTCCCTCGTATCTTATCGAGATGGCGATAAACTATTTTTAGCCGCCCCTGAATTGTTATCCCTGTTGACATTCCATAACATCATAAGCCCTCACGCTCACTTTTCATTGAAACTATGCCTGCCGATTGGACCCTTCCCCACAGCCTCGCCCGCATGTTCTCTACCAGTCCTAAGCGATGGATCCTTTGAATCGACTGAAGCGGCGCCTGTCCAAGCGTTCATTTCCACGCGCCTACGAGCATTCTACACACCCTTATGAAGACGATGAATCTGACGCCGCGTACGTGCACTTTGTGGTGTTTGTTTACATCTGTCATGCATGCACTTACGTACTTACTTACATAATCCAGCACTATGGTCGAAATCGAGCAAGACTCAAGTTTCCTCCGTCTTCCCGCCAACGCGCGGGAGCTAATTTACGGCCATGTACTCGGCAGCATACAGATACGCGTATGCGACACAAGGAATTGCACCCGCCGTCACAAATGTCGCTCTCGCGGACGAAAACTTCACTTCGCCACTTACTTCCACCTCCGGAGACGGCATTTAGCCCTACTAACCACCTGCCGCCAAATACATGCCGAGACCAGGCTCCTGCCGTTTGCACTAAATGAATTTCATGGATATCACTGGGATATGCAACTTGCTGTCTACTACCGCCTGACGGATGCACAGGTCGGTGCTATGACGAATCTTCGCGTATATTTTGAATGCAACGATGTGATCTATTATCCGGCTCTCGGCCGACGGAGCCCGAGTGTCAACCTTGGTAAAGATGCTCTTGCCACGCTGCGTGTCCTCGGTCATCTTCGCGGGCTGCGTAAGCTCACTGTCGAGTGGGTTGGCCCGCACGATTGGGAGCATGACTGGGATATGGTGGAGGGCAGGATGGCTTATCTGATTGAGGAAGAACTTGAGCAGATCAGGGGCTCATGTGATATTAAGGTTGTGGTAGTGGGCTGTGATTATGTAGAAGACCTCGATACGGAGCCTGTGTCTGTGTTGGGTGATATGCCGAAGCTTGTGTCTTTTTCGGTGTAGTTGTTGCAATCAGTTGTCACTTGACCTGACCTATGCACACAGGCCTAAGGCAACCAAGGGCACATTTACTGCAAAATGCAGCGTATCGCGGTTAATTTATTGTTCAAAATCTGAAAAGAAAAACACTTGCGAGATTCTGCTCAGATCTCATGGGCATCAGAAGCCCATTGGACTTAGCTATTCTTAACAGAATCAATATCTGTGGCAAGTCTTTGTCTTGTTGGAAAGACAGATCTCACGTCACTGATATTTTTGATTCAGACAAGAAAAATCAACCTGTGAAGAGTGTAGTTGAGTCAGTAGACAGAAAGTCCAACACCGCTATCTCGTATCACACAAACGCAGCCCACAACACAAACAACATGAACCTAAGCAGCATGGAACTGGCAGGCGCAGCAAAATTAAAACGGACTTTAGGCTTTTGAGATTTATCAGTGACTTGGTTTGAGGCCTTGTCATACTATTCAGAGCATCTGGTGACGTCTCTTTCCTAACAAACGCCTCCCATCACGCCTTCCCTGCCAATTCACATCACAACCAAGCCACTCGACAGACCCTGTTTCACCTCTTACTCGCCTTAATCACCATTCAATACCTCACTGATCTGAGCGAAGACAAACGCTCACCCCCATTCTATATCACTTGCCTCCTTCTTCCCTCCGATCTCTGTCGCTCCACCGCCATCCAACATGGCTACCCGACCGAGAGCCCAGTCAGATCCGCTCCATACGCATGCGTACCGCTATCATGTACAGTTAATGTACCTCATTGCAGAAGTGTAAGTATTTACAAATCCCCCCCGCCGTCTCTGCACGAAAAAAAAACAAAAGGCACTTACTCTGAAACCCGACCCACCACTAAACAAAACCTCACTCGCACAGCTACAAGCGCAACCAGGCAACATCTCCCCTGCTGCGTCTCCCAGCCGAGCTGCGCATGAAGATCTACGACTACGTCTTCGATGCTGGAAGCATCAGTCCCAAGTACGAGACGCAGGACCATCGTACCTGGGAGTACCCGCGCACCAACCTGTCACTCATCCAAGCCTGCCGCCAAACATGGGCGGAGACCAGACTGCTTCCCTTCACTCGCAACGTCTTCAGCGGCTACTCGGAGCACGTGATTGAGATGCTGTGCAAGAACCTCACGCGCAGCCAGGCCAATGCTATTTCCAGAGTAAGACTCCTCGTCGATGCGTTCGCCATCTATCGCGATGGCAAGATCCCGCATTCGGGTCTCAAACCATGGATCATTGTGGAGCTCAGCGACTTGTGCATGTTTGAGGGCCTCAAGGAGTTGGAACTGGTTTGGTTTGGCAGCGATATTGAACCTGTTCAAACCGAGTTACATAAGCAAGTCACCGAGGTGTTGGAGAGGTCGGGTCGCACGGATATCTTACTCACAGTTGTTCCTGACCCTCCTCCTCCTCCTCCAACGAACTGATGGGGTTATGGAAAGGGCGTCCTTTAGACTTGGGAGGTATAGTGAAGTTGGCGCTAGGAAGGACTTGGTATGGATAGAGAGGTCACTGTCATCATCACCAGGTACAGTGAGAAAGGACTAGTGCGGATAGAGAAGTCACTGCCAACATCAAGTACAGTGAGGGGTGTGGAAAGCTGATGGGTGATCGTACTGGCACCATCACCTTTACACACATGGAAGGGAACCAGAGGTTTGAGGAAGTGAATTGAAAAATGTCTTGTCCAACCCGGCCCATATATACAAAGAGAGCAGCCGTGAAGTCACCAGTGAAGTCTACGTTCCTAACTCATCATGAAGCATTAAAAGCGTATCCCAACAAAGGAGAGAGCAAAAGAAGTTGCGCCATGACTGTACAAGAGGAAATAAGAGTTGACGCTTGAACGCATACAAGAGGCGGCTTGCGAGAACCAAAGCAAAAAGAGAAAACTAAGTAGATGGGTAGGTCCAGGAAATGGCAATCGCAAGGCAAAAAAAAAAATGAGAATATAGTCAAACTCCCATGAAGCGCCAGAGCACCAGTCATAATCATTAAGCGAAAAAGAAAACAGAAATCCCTTTTCTTTTTTTTCTCTCCAAATTCCCTTAGGAAAGAAAAGCGATGACGCCTGTGGAACCCAAAAGGAAGAGAAAAAGAAAAAAAGAGGACAAGAGTAAAAAAAAATGATGAGTCCAAGGAATGTGGAAGGAAAAGAAGAGTAAGAAATTGTAGAGAGCGAAGCATTTCAACCTCTTACTCGCTCTCTAGCAACTGCCGTATCTTCTCGTAAAAACTTGCTGGATACTGACGAATCTCATCATCAGTAGGCGCGGGCTTATTCGGGTCTCGGAAGCGATCCGCAACGCGCTGAATAATCTGGCCAAGTAGCTCCTGCGGAATCTTGAGGTCTTCACCGCCATCGGGGTACAAAAAGGGATCGCGTTCGTCGAGGAGCTGCGCGATATTCGGGCGACGCGAGGGATCGCGGTTGAGGCAGCGGCGCATAGTAGCTTTGAGACCCGGGGGAACGCGAACGTCGCCGACGCCGAGGTCCGGGAATTCGATTTTGTAGTCACGATTTACGATGGCGAGGACGCGGGCCATTTGGTTGGCGATATGGGCGAAGGGAGGGCGGCCGTAGACCATTTGGTAGAGGATGCAGCCTAGACTCCAGACGTCCGAGGGCTTACCGAGAGCCATGTCTTTGGAGCCGTTGCCGTTGCTGAGGAGACCGCGGGCGCCGCCGGCGGAGTCTTCGAGAGACTCGGGGGACATGTAGTTGGGGGTGCCGATGTGCGAGTCGCGGTGGACGTTGACGGTGTGGTCGACTTCAATGGCGTTGGCAATGCCGAAGTCGATGAGCTTTAAGCGGCCAGAGGTGAGGAGGAAGTTTGCGGGTTTGAGGTCCGAGTGGACAATGTCATGGTCGTGGACAGCACCAACGCATTCGAGCATCTCTTTCCAGTAGTAGCGGGTGAAACTGAGGTCGAGTTTGCCATCCCCATCGGCAGGGTCAAGCTTCATTCGTATTATGCGGGCCAAGTCTGATTCTCCGAGTTCCATGAGCTGTGACATGTTAGGACTAAAACTTTGACTCTTGACAAAAGGCTACTTACTACACTGAGCACTTGGCGTTGCTCATCCACTTCCCAGTCGTAGAGTCTTACAACTCTGTCGACGTTCTTGAGTTTTTGCAGTAGATCAATCTCGCCCTTGAAACCTCGCACAGCAGCCTCGTCGGCATCTTCAAGCTTCACCCTCTTCAGGGCCAAAGTCTTGAAGTTCTCCGCCATGACACGGTACACCGCCGAACTGCCACCTCTGCCTATCCTGTCCATCTGAGAGTAGTGCTTTCCGTTGACGGACAGTGTGACCCTCTTCTTTCTCTCTCGTGTCTTGGTGGTAGCAGCTCCAGCAGCAGCGGTTGCGGTCTCCAATACAGACATCTTTGGCGGTGGTGGAGGCGCTGGTCGTCGTGGGGTATTTGCACTCATTGACTGTAGTGGTATGGGTTTTTCTTGTTGTTGCGAAGCCCTTTCGCTAGGTGACTGGTGTTCTAGGGAGGATTGCATGTGGCGGTCCTCTGCGACCTTCATGACCGAGCCAGTAACCTTCAAGACGGAATCGGGGACGTTCTCAGGCTGGGTTTTGATGGCCGACGCAGGCATGTTCTCCTGATCTTGGGAAGGAGGATTCTCTTCTTCGCTTTGGGGTGTTCTGCGCAGTCTCCTCATGGGTGCGCCCCGTAATGGAACTCGTTTGATGCGTAGACTAGGTGCAGGCGTAACGGAGTCATGCACGGGTGTATTTGAGCCAGAATCATTGCGCGAGATTTTGAGCTTAGGCTTTCTCTTCTCTGGTGAATCAACCTCGTTGCCTTGGGCAAGTAGAGCTGCCGTCAGAGCACTGAGCTTCATGGGTTGTGGCATCTCGTCATCCGAGCTGTCGCCAATGTCGATGCTCTGCATCATGGGCACGTCGGCAGAGAAGCCCTGCGATTGACCCAGCATAGAGAGTGGAGAGTCTCTCCGGGGTCGTATCGATGATTGCGCACGCATGCGCCCATATGAGGAGCCGCCTAGCGGCGTGGGAGATCCGGTAGCCATTCGAGAGTCGCAAAGGGATGGTATGCGCGCGTGGCTATAAGCGTGTTTGTTGGGTTATGTGAATAGCGATTGAAAGCTGTAGTGTTAGTTGCGCATACATAAGGCCCGGAGGGAAGGCGGCTGTTTGTCGTAGAGATGCTGGGGGTAGTGGTTGAGTTTGGACGTTGACATCCATAGCGCGTGCCGGCCAATCCTAGTTCTCGCGTGGTGTGGTTGCTGGGCAACGAGAACGCGGCAGTAAACAAACAGGGCCAAAACACCTAGTGCGGGACTAGTGGGAACTGCTAACGAGCACCGAGGGTTATACCACGCCCATTTCACACCAGTGCAACTTTCTGTGTCTTATATATACTTAGTGATATGGGTATCCATGGAATGGCTTTGCCCTCAGGTTTGGTTCCTGCAGCAGAACCGACAACAGCAGCTTCAAGGCAATACACAGTGAGCCAAAATGTCGGTTGTCTTTGAAGTGCTTGCTTTTTCTATATGCACCTGGATAATGACTATTTCATGCGTATTTCTTTTTTTTTGGACTGGTTGTGGTAATTGTGCATTTTTGCCAGTGGAAGCCAAAGGATTGGAACACCATGTGGTCTTGTAGAACTGTCCGCCCAGTCATGGTTTACTTTATTGACATGTGATAACTTGAAAGCAACAATATCTTATAATTCCAACAGTTTGCATACATCGTAATAGTGATAAAGTCTTAGATACCAGCCGGTAGCCTCCAAAACAAATACTTCGTTACTTGATACCCCAGTCCCCTCTCTTCTACAACATCTATCCAAACGAGAAAACACGCTGTAGAGACATGAACGACAATCCAATCAACTATAACGGAATGAAAGGCTTGGTAAAAGACACTGCGTAGCTAGAGCAGCCAATGAGATTGCCTCTCGCGAGTGTTGTATGCAGTCATGCCCCGGTCCCGATTGTGCAAGTCTTTCCCCCAAACGCCATGGCCTACTCATGCATCCAAACGGTAGGTCGTACAAATGATCACAGTTTTGCTCGTGGGGATGCCTCCTCGAGCACAACAGCTACCACGGCAGCAATGTCATCCGGTTTGCCGCCATGCCAGTTCTCCCCAGGGTAGTATCGCTGTACCTCTCTGGCAAAAGGCCCGTCCCGACGAGTGTTGAGTCCCGTCACTTTGGCCTCCTTTGCAATTGCAACTGCGACCTTTGCCTGGAGCGAGGAACTGTCGGCCTTGCGAGATGAGTTTGCCTGTACCAGCTTTGCTAGATTTTTTCCGACCACAATTGTGCCATCTCTCTCAACCCAAGCACCTAGGTCGACCATCTGACGGCTGACAATACCTAGCACATCCTGTGGACTGAGATTATCCCACACACCGTCGGTTGCGAAGACGAGGACATCTCCATGCCGTACTTTATGGTGCGTTACACTCGACTCCTTTGGTAGATCCGAGAGTGTGGTTGGACCACCAAACACAGCCATCTGCACCAGCATACGTTGAGGGGTTTTTGAGAGCTGATAGGGAGTGTTGAAGGCATGTGTTTGGGGCTGTGTGAAATGTCGCACTGCGTTTAGACCCAGATGCATGAATCCTGAGTCGCCCAAGTTGGCGACTTCGACATGGCCGTCTGGTTCTGCGACCGCCAGGCATGCGGTGCTGCCGCCACCTTCAATGCTGGCGTCATCGGTAACTTCGTCGTACGCAACCTGAAGCAGATCCTTCGGGTGTAACGACGTCGTGTTGAATCCGTGCGGCCATGAGCGCGCTGCGCAGGCCATGTACTCGCACAATCCATGGGAGAAGTCTGCGGGATCCAAGCCAGACTCGACCCAACCGCCGACTCCGTCTGCGACTCCAAATGTCGTGGCATCAGTGGTTCCCACTTGGCTGAAGAAGAAGGCGTCCTGTCCACTCTTTGCTCGCTTCCGCTTGTCGATGGCCTCTTTGCATTCGCGCAGATCCTCAATCTTGCTTTTCCTCGGGTCGTAGAGCGGGCGCGTGAAGAGATTTTGCTCTGCATCAAAGTTGTCTTGCTTGGCCGAGTAGGAGGCAGCTACATGATAGGTGTATTGCGGCATACTCCGCCAATTGTGCGAGGAAGAATGGAATGACCGTAAGCCGACTGTGGCCGGGGAGGTGTTTCGATTCAAGGGACAGGTTGGGTGTGCGTGGGAGGGCATTCGCTGCAAGGGGACGCCGGGACTGCGGCTGGTCGAGGCAGGTGCTACCAAAGGCGATGCGGAGAGTGCAAGGAGGAAGAAGCCAGTAGATGAGGCGCGTCGCGGTGCTGGTGAAAGTCGCGCAAGGCCCGCTGCACTGGTAATCGCAAATGACATGGCCAAAGCCCAAGCCTATCGATTACGAATTAGCACGTGAAAAGGGTGGTAGCAGATAGTGGTAGTGAAGGGAATGCATCATGGCGGCGCCGTACCTTTGCGACAGACGACGTTGGAATAAAAAGGGTCCCTTGGGCTAAGAATTCACATTGGCCGTCGTCATTGCCGATCGGCTAGCTGCTGAGGGCGGTGATACTTACAAGTACAAGGCGCATCGTCTCAAGATGCACAACAATTTAGGGGAGGATGATGCAGATGCAAGAGAGGACAAGCCGGCTTGCTCTGACAGTCCTCTGGACAACTGTTCGCTATTCTGCAACCTTTTGGCTGGGCGGCCAAACGCTGCTGGCCTTTGGCTCAAACGCGGAGAATGACATAACCGACGCTAGTTCAGCCCTATCGCCTAAACCCGTGGCTGGCCCCGAACTTCTTTTCGAGAGACGCCCCCACGAGCTTCCAATCACCTTCCCCGCCGTGGGACAGCCAGTCAGTCAAGATGAGCATGCATCCGGCGCGTCAGGCCTATGTCGAGGAGGAGAATGGTGCGGTATGTGTTTTGTATCCTGTCTCTGGATACCAGGCAGCAAGCTTCACATGTTGCGCAGCTACCTCCAGGATGGTGTATATAGCTTCTGGCAAATACAAGATCTAACATGAGTACCTAGGGCGATGCCATGGAGGGGATAGACCTTGCCAGTGTCCGTAAGTATCTGGGCGCAATTCACACATTCAATCCTAGAATGCTAACCAGCCCAGCGCTCGACCGCAACCATGCCATGCCCGGTGGAGGAAACGCGTCGGCTTCTTCGCTCATGGAGGATTTTGATCGCAAGCGACGAGCCGCCCAGCTAGTTGTGCCCACGGCCGACCGCGATGTCAAAGCAAAGCTGCGTTCGCGCGGAGAACCAATTACCCTCTTCGGCGAGGGTCCTGCTGAGCGCCGCGATCGACTTCGCGCATTGCTTGCAGAAGCACAGGAAGCATTGGGCGAGGAAGCGGCAGACGTGGACATGCAAGACGCAGAAGAGGGGGCTGGAGACGAGCAAGAGGAATTCTACACGCAGGGCACGCAGGCACTTCTGGATGCGCGACGGGAAATGGCCAAGTATTCGCTGCCACGAGCCAAGGAACGAATCGCATATCAGCGTCGCGAGGCTACGATACCGCTCAAGACGCATATCGAGTTCCGGAACGGCATCAAGGAGCGGCTAAAGGGCTTTGAACTCTACGGATCGCAAACAGCAGATCGACCAGTGAGCATTGTACGCGTCTCGCCAAATGGGCAGTACGTCGCATACGGAACCTGGGGTGGCAAGGTGGCACTACTCGAGATTCCCAGTCTTGAGCAGAAGAAAGCCTACCGGGGTGGACATGCGGAACGTGCGACAGGCATAGACTGGATGCCAGACGCAACCCTGCCTGGTAGTAGTGTATCGAGTTCAAGCGTAAACTTTGCCTCTGGAGGAGCAGGTGGAAAGGTTCAGCTATGGTCGCTTGATGACGACAAACCTCTGCGCACGCTAGAAGGACACACTGACCGTGTTTGTCGTTTAGCGTTCCATCCTACAGGACGATACCTAGCGTCAGCTTCTGATGATACCACATGGCGGCTTTGGGACGTGAACACGGGCCAGGAGCTTCTCATGCAAGAGGGTCATTCAAAGGAGGTCTATACTGTAAGTTTCAACGGTGACGGTTCTTTGGTTGCAAGTGCTGGCTTAGACAGCATTGGTCGTGTGTGGGATGTTCGCACAGGTCGAGTCATCTACATGCTGGAAAGCCATATCAAGCCCATCTATGGTTTAGACTGGGCTACCGATGGCCACCGACTACTTTCTGGATCGGGAGATGGATTTATGAAGTGCTGGGACGTTCGTGCGATGAGAGAGACCAACTCGATTGCGGCCAACACTGGAGGAGTCACTGATCTACGATGGTTCAAGGGGACGGATGGTCCGACGAGCGGAATACCGCTGCAAGAGAATGAGCAAGGGCAAGTGATTCCGAAGAAGGCATCAACATTTGTCATTTCGTCTGGATTTGACAAGAATGTTCAAATCTTTTCGGCGGACGATTGGGCACACTGCAAGACTCTCCAGGGACACTCTGGGCCCGTGTTTAGTACGGATGTGACAAGGGACGCATGCTGGATTGTGAGTGGAGGCAAGGACCGCACCGTGAAGCTGTGGTCTCGGGATGATAATGGGGGAATCTGAGGTTGAGGCGGGGGAGAAGCAAACAATTCAGTCACATGCACGGTAGGCTGCCTACAGATGCATATGCAAGCTGACCCAGAAGCAAAGATGGAGAGCTTACAAGAAGCAAAGAAGACGAGTTCACATGAACAAGAGGAGAAAAAAAAAGCATACAAAGGCAAATGCTCTGGTTGATATCACTTGTCAGGTGGAAGTTGAACAGCAAAAAAAAACAGGTCCATAGCTTGAACCGAGATACCCAGTACATACTCCGATTGCGCGTGGAGTTTGCACAACTACAAAGCATATACATTTTACGTATGGTGTCATGTATGCAAAAGGCATCCCTTCATTTCAGAAGGCACTCTACACCAACTACCGGTGTGTTTCAATATCCTTCATCTCAAATGAGTCACATACCCTTCTCTCTCTCTCTCCCCAATTTCCCCCATCCCCCTTCCCAAACAAAATTAGCCCGAATTGCCGTCCAAGAATCCGGCACTGATCCCATTAGCTCGGTACCACTGTACCAACATCTTACACCCGAGTCTAATCCAAGTAGTCTAAGTAAGACACACTGACGCGCGCAACCCGGGCACCATGATTCCAGAATACACGTTTTTTTTCCCCTTTCCCGGATCACGCATCGACCCCGTGTGTGCTCCGTGCTTTTCTAACCCACCCCCATATGCCTTTGTCTTACTTCACTTATCGCATGGCCCAGAAAAAAAAAGCCCGTAAGCATGTTGTCTGTGTGTGTGTGTGTGTGTGTGTGTATGTAATGCGTGTATGCACACACCACCTTTTTTTTCTCTCCCCCCAAGGCCATACTAAAAAGACTCTTAGCCTGTAGTTTATGACGTTGACAAGCCTTACGCACCACCCATACATGATGTTTCCCCATAATTCTCAAACACGCCAATCTTTCTGGGTAAACCAGGGGGTTGTGGAATGTTATTTTTTTTTCTTTCCCTCTTTTACACCGCAAGAGTCACATGTTTTTTTTGGTTAAGCTTCTATATCAGTGTAGAGAGAAAAAAAAATAGTGCGTGTGGATGTGGGGGAGGCGCGCCTCTCCGTCTCTCTCTCTCTCTCTCACCGCAACATGGAACGAATCGGAACGCCGAGCCAAAAAAAAATCAAGCTAGTAAGGGAATAGGGTTTTTTTTTAGGTTTACTGGGAAGAGAGAGCAGAAAAGGACGCTATGTTTCAGGTTTCGGGTTCTGGAGGTGAAGGGGCGGTCTACATGGAATGCATATGCAGTAGGTGGAGGGGTCGTGTGCGCATGTGTCTGTGTGTGTATGTAGACCGAGCCTATGGTAGGACAAGGGTAATTGGGAGGAGATGCCGCACCCGCGATGTGCATAGTGTCAGCGGTTGCGGGTTGCGGTAAAATGTGGGAGATCCACACACACACACACACTGGTTGGGGGTGATGACTTTTTTTCCATCCAAAGGTTGGGAATTGTCATTAGGGTTTATTTGCAAGTACGGATGTATTATGGAATTATGATTGGTTGGTTAACTGTCCGGTCTTCGGCCGGATTATATTTTTTGGGGTATTGTGATTGGTTGCATTTATTTGGGGGGAAAGGAAGCGACGGAAGGTCAAAGTTTTCCGGGGATGCGGATGGTTAGTGAGGTGAGTTGAGGTGAGGTGAGGGGAGTGAGTCATACATTCACATACACAGGGTACACTGACAATGTTTTTTTGGGAGAAGGAGAGAGTAAGTTGAATGCAGGGCTAAGATGCAGGTAGCGGCGATCAATTGTAGTGAAGAATACGGTACAATACACAGACTGCACAAGCCTTTTTTTCGGGAGCGGGCAAAAAAAAAGGTTCTAGTGGCTGGAGACTAGAGCGCGGGAGCGGATAGTGGAGCGTGAGCCTGGAGCCTTTCTTTACTCGTCCTCTGACCGCTACAGCCTCACCTTTTGCATTGTGCAGCCACAATATCACGATTGCAACCCCCCCGGAGGAAACGTGGATGGCTACGAGGCATTCACTTGACGAGCTGGGCTTGGTGGAGAGCATGGAAATAGATGTGATTGATTTCTTGTGCAGCAGGATTGTGATGATGTGTTCCGGTCAAGACAGGGCCGTTGTCTCAGGGTAGAGAGCAGAGTGGGCAGATGCGAGGATAGTCGAAGTGGAGCCCCACTGTCGAGAGTGGCTCTGGGCTAGAGGAGAGTTTGTTGGGGTGGCTTTGAATTACGCGTGCCACAGTAGGCGCCGCAATAGAGAGAGAGAAAACAGAGTTGCGGATCAGCCGCGGCAGTCGAGAGCAGATGCAGCATCTGTGCTTGTCATGCACGTCGGCTCCCACAGTGGGGTTGGTTGCTGTGGCATCTCAAGAGAGCTTTGCTATTTGCGAGAGGGCGCGCGTCGGGATTGGCGTGACGCGGTAGTCTTGGATATGTACATGTGTAGTCTGGTTGGGGGAGGGATTGCATGGGTTGGCTTGGCCGCGATATGCGTCACACAGAGCACAGGTTGGCAGGAGCAGGAGCGAGAGGGTCAAAGTATGGCCTTGGTGAGGACTTTGGCGGCAAAAAAAAGGTATTTTTGAGTGCACTGATTCTTGTCACGGGCAGAAGTTGGCAGTAGTGGACGGGCGAAGTTGGCCGGGGGAGCAGAAAACGGCGGGCTGGGCAGGCATGTTGCAAGTAGAGAGAGGCCAGTGGACGAAGAATGACGCACAGAGGGACATGCAACAGTCTGGCGGGAACCCGGCGGCACGGTACTGCGAGCAGCAGTCGGGACAAGGGCGGGCTAGAGCTGCCGTGTTTGTCGCGTCCTGGCTCAGCCAAAGGCCGATTGCAGGCAGATGGAGTGACGATGGGGGGGTAGCGTCGACGAGAGAGGGAGTGGGCAGAGGCCGGCTTGGACAGGGAAGCCTGGCGCGGGCAGAGAGCGGTGAGATGACTCGTGCACAGGTGGGAGAGGAGAGGCGAGGGGCGGGCGCTGGACAGATGACACCATGACGCCGCGGGCTGGACGGCCGGCGACGGCCAAGCCAGGCTCAGCACACAGACGAGAGCGCACGTCGGGTGACGGCCGAGGGCGCCAGCGGCGGGTGTGGTTGGATGGAGGGCCGGGGCGTGGGCAGCGGGCATGATGATGACAGCAGCGTGTGGGTGGTGGGTGGTGTGCTTGCTTGGTGCACTGGACGGCGAGCAGGCGAGGGAGCACCAAGCAGGAAGACGGCCTTGACTGTTTTGGGCACGCCCTTCACGCATGCGTCGCTGGGATCGATACATACGATACATACCGGCATGGATGGGCTACATGGTTACAGCATCGACATGGGCCGGCCCGCACAGGCTAGCCAGTCATGACGGGCTGCGAGCAGCAGCAGCAGAGCAGCGCGCGCGGTATGCGTGACAGCGGGCGCACTGGCGGGCGCGACAAACGGCCCAGCAGCAGCACAGGGCGGGCGGGCAAACACTGGCTAATGGCTGCTACGACGCGCCAGGGAAGGCTGCTGCAGTGCTGCATCCATACCCGACGCTATTGGGGCGTCGTATCCCGCACCCTGGCCGCCCTCGTCTGCTGCTCACACCCCGCCCGCCCACTACCCACCAGCTTTAAGTCCGCGCTCCCGCCCTTCACCCAGCCTCCACTGCTGCCACTACCATCACCACCACTGCACCTCTGCCTGCACGCCTGCCGCTACCACTGCACGCCAGGCCCAGCTGCTCTGCCTCTGCAACACTGCCATTGTATCGCCCTCGGTGCAGCGCGCTGACAAGTCCTGTTGCCGCCCCCCGCCATTTGCAGCTTGCCTAATCCAGCGGCCCACACCGCCACTCCCCCGCCCACACCGGTACTTTGCTACGGGTACCATACATAGAGCCCGCCATGGACCACTCCTACTCGGCCTCGCAAAATCACATGGACTTCCACTCGCTCGACCGCAAGCCCTCGGCCTTTTCCTTTGACGACAACGCCACCCTCGACTCCACCATCCTCGACACCCCCGTCCTCATGTCGCCCTCGACCAGCAACCAGGGCATCTTCTCGCCAGACACGTCCATCTGGGAGGACTTCTCGGCCTCGCAGTTTGTCGACCGCACAGCCACCAGCTCCGTCGTCAACACAAACGGCAACAACCCCTTCTTCACCGAGCAGAGCAACAACCCCTTTGCCCGCCTGCCCCCCAACCAGGCCGCTACCTACGGCCAGCAGTCATGGCCCGTCGCCGACAACTCGGGCTCCAGGACACCCACGGCCCCCAAGGCCCTCAACCCCTTTGGTCCCGGTGACTTTGGCGCCCCTTCGTTTGTCGACCAGCCCCAGATGCCCTTCCACGGACTCCCCGTGCACCAGAACGTCCGCCCCAGTGCCGTCTTCCAGGCCGCACCCGAGCAGCCCATGTCCCCCCACACCCACTCCGACTGGATGGCCTTCAACCAGCAAGAGATGGACGCCCGCCCGGGCCCCAAGCGCATGCGCCCAAACACGCCTCCTCGCTCCTTCTCTCCCCGTCGTGACGGCGGCATCCGCAAGAAGAATGCCCGCTTCGACATCCCCGCCGAGCGCAACCTGCACAACATCGACACCCTCATCCAAGGCTGCACCAACGAAGAAGACCTCAAGGAGCTCAAGCAGCAAAAACGCCTCCTCCGCAACAGACAGGCTGCGTACGTACCACCACCACCACCACCGCCTTTTGGTTCTTGGCTCCACGCTCCATGTTTGGTCCAATTTACCTCTTGGTCTATGCTCTCCATGTTTCATCCGCTGACCTAATCACAGACTTGACTCGCGCCAACGCAAGAAGAAGCACACTGAGGAGCTCGAGGAAGAGAAGAAGCAGTGGATGGAGAAGATTTGCCAGATGCAGGATGACTTCGCTGCCATGCGCCTCGAGTATGATGCCCTTGTTGCCGAGAAGGAGAACTGGCACCGCGAGTCCATGGAGATGCACCACATGGTCAACCAGCTGCAGTTCGACAAGGAGGAGCTCGTCCGCACCCACACCATTGAGACGAGCGAGCTCCGCAAGAAGGTCTCGGT